AGTGAATCATCCAGGTGATCAGTGAATCATCCAGGTTAATCAGTGAATGGTCCAGATGAATTAGTAAATGATCCAAATGAATCAACAAGGTGAAACAGTGAATCATCTAGATGTATCAGTGAACAATCCAGGTGAATCAATGAATCTTCGAGGTGATTTAGTGATTCAGTGAATTGCCCAGAACAATTAGTGAATGGTCCAAATGAATCAATGATTCAACTAGGTCATAAATTCATTTTCTTTTCAGCTCAGCCCCTTTATAAACCTGGGGTCGCCACAGCGGAATGAACTGCCAACTTATTCAGCCCATTTTACGCAGCAGATGCCCTTCCAGCTGCAACCCATCACTGGGAAACACCCATACACTCTCATTCTCACACACACAGACTACAAACAATTTAGCCAACCCAATTCACCTATAGCGCATGTCTTTGGATTTGTACCCACACGAACCCACACGAACACGGAGAGAACATTCAAACCCCACACAGAAATGCCAACTGACCCAGCCGAGGCTCAAACCACTGACCTTCTTGCTGTGAGGCAATTGTGCTACCCACTGCGCCACTGCATTGCCCGAATCATTTAGGTGAATCATTTATTGGTCCCGGTCAATCAGTGAATTATCCAAGTGAATCATTCATTTAGTGAATTGTCTAGGTGAATCAGTGGAAGTTCAGATGAATCAATGAATTAAGCTGGTGAATCAGTAAATAGGTCAGATGAATCAATGAGTCAACCTGGTGAATCAGTAAATAGGTCAGATGAATCAATGAGTCAACCTGGTGAATCAGTAAATAGGTCAGATGAATCAATGAGTCAACCTGGTGAATCAGTGAATGGTCCAGGCGAATCAGTGAATTGTTCAGGTGAATCAGTGAATTGCTTAGGTGCATCAATGAATGGTCCAGGTGAATCAGTGAATTGTTCAGGTGAATCAGTGAATTGTTCAGGTGAATCAGTGAATGGTCCAGTTGAATCAGTGATAATCCTGGTGAATGGTGTGGTTTCTTAGCATCTGGTGATGCAGCTCCAGGCGCTGCTCATGGACTCAGTTTTGGCCACCAGTAAGCGGAGTGAATCTCCTGATGTGCGGATGAGCTCTCGTCCACTGAAACAGCAGAACACAGGAGGATTATTGACGGAGCTTTAGAGCTGAGAAACATCTGTGAACGCTTCAGTCTAACACAATTAATCTCAACACACCTTCATCTTCAACACAAACAATGAGTTTTTAACAGCGCACTGTAATCTTTAATGTATTATACACTCATCTTACTGTTATATATATATATAGTACTATATGTTAATAAAGTGTAATTATGGCTGACAAGATTTTTATACTCAAGATATTACTCAAATCTTGTCAAATATCACTGAAATAATTTGAAATAGTTTGACTAATTTAATGACAATAATCAGCACAATACTTGTTTTTGTGAAAGTGCTATAAAAATAAGCCTGAATTGAATGAACATTGTGTTTTTCAGCCCTTTGACACTTGAATCTATTTTCTCTGGAAGGGTTAAACCCACTCAGGTATTGAATGTGTTCAGTGTTCACCTGTGGTAGTCCATTCCCACCAGACTGACTCCGTTGACGGCGAGGATCCGGTCTCCTGTTCTCAGGCTCTGGCTCTGGGCCGCTGGAGAATCGGGCACCACTGACTTCACATAGACCCCATTCACCCGCAGAGCAGTTTTCTGTCCCGCACAGACCAAAACAACAGAAAACAAGATTACAGACGAGACATGTCTTCATCTTCAAAACTAAAACCTGAAGTTCAGTCAATGAAAACGTCATTCATTCTCAATCTAAAGCTCATCTAATAGTGCATAGTGCTCACAATGGCAAGGTTGTGGGTTTGATTCCTGAGGAAAGCAAGAAATGATCACAAGTGTAACCCGATTGGCTCACATCACAGTGGCGAATGGGTTTGGGGTGTGGTTAGGTAAGAGAAATCATTATCATTGGATGATTTAGAAGAACAAACAAAGTCAGAAATGCCCCTTTTGCTTTGTAATGGCTTCATGTAGCCTCCACTCTGCCATGCTGCCAACTAAACAGCATGGGCCCTATCATACATTTAACACACTGCAATGCTGTGCCATGAGCATCGCAAGTGTTTTTTGCTAGTTTCAGGCACGCGCAGGAATCATTTTCACCTTTGCGCCACATTGTTTAAAAAGCAAAAGCATTTGTGCTCATTTCTGCACTTGCTTGGTGTATTAAAGAACGTGTGTTAAGGTGCATCGTTTCAGAGACGTATGCATCAACAAATGGGGCATAGAAATTGCAAGTATGTTCCCACATAGCAAAATTTCTCTGGCCCAGCTCTGGCCCACACAATCAGGTTTTGCTTGGCCCACATGCCGCAGTGAATTACAGTACATGACTGGACCAAATCTGGCTTCCAGACAAGGGCCAAACACAGACCATATCTAGGCCAAGTCTCAGCCAAGTTAATAACTCATAACTGGGCCTGAACTGGGCCAGATAGGTTGGTGTGTCACGATTGCAATGAAATTGGTAAACCCATGGAGTGATGCGCTTTAGGCACACTATGGGCACGCTTTTTCTCAAAGTGACCTGATTGGTAGAATTTTTTTTCTTTTCTCAAAAATAATTTTAGTGTATTTTAAATGTGGGTCAAGACTGGCCAAACTCACATGGCCCACTTATCACATTTTTAAATCTGGGCCAAATACTACGTTTTACATCTGGCCCAAATCTTGTGTGCCGCCTTAAAGACAGTGCCACCTCTGCCAAACCTGGGCCATGTTTGGCCCACATGCTGTATGCCAGTGCCGGATGAATGCCTGCTGTGCCAGCTTTATGCCAAATCTGGGCCAGAATTCTTTGCTACTAGGGTTTGGATGTAACTTCATTTTTTGAACACACTTTGTTGTTATTGGTCATTTGTTAGTTTGCTGAAAACTTAAACTGAATTTAAAAACAGATCTGAAACAAATATTTGTGCTTAACAAATTAAATTAAATGTCTTTAGTGGAGTGTGTCCGCCATTGTTTTTTTAAATTCAGAGACGAATGGAGGAAGCTTGTTCTTTTAACCTCATGCACGTGGTCTTTAATTATTTTCTCGCTAATGATGGGTTCAGTTTTTCTGCTTACGAAGTCCACCATCTACAGTTGAAGTCAGGATTATTAGCCTCACTGAATTATTAGCACCCCTGTTTATTTTTTTCCCCAATTTCTGTTTAACGGTCAAAAGACTTTTTCAACACATTTATAAGCATAATAGTTTTAATAACTCATCTCTAATCACTGATTTATTTTATCTTTGTAATGATGACAGTTAATAATATTTGACTAGATATTCTTCAAAACACTTCTATAAAGCTTAAAGTGACATTTAAAGGCTTAACCAGGTTAATTAGGTTAACTAGGCAGGTTAGGGTAATTAGGCAAGTTATTGTATAACGATGGTTTGTTCTGTAGACTATCGAAAAGAAATAGCTTAAAGGGGCTAATAATTTTGTACTTAAAATGGCTTTTTAAAAATATTCAAACTGCTTTTATTTAAGCTGAAATAAAACAAATAAGACTTTCTCCAGAAGAAAAAATATTATTAGACATACTGTGAAAATTTCCTGAATCTGTTAAACATAATTTGGGAAATATTTAAAAAAGAAAAAAAAAAAATCAAAAGTAGGCTAATAATTTTGACTTCAACTGTATAGAGCAAATGAGCCATATACTCTTAAAGAGAATGGAAGATGAGATTCTTATTGGTTTAATGCACATTGTGTCCAAAACACACCCGTACCTCTTTAAGACTATGCGCCTGGCACACAGAATGCTTTTCCCACCCTTAAAATAGCAAAAGTGGATTTGAACATGCCCTAGATCATTAAAATAGAGCCCACTGTTATTGTACTGATATTTAATGCTTTTTACTGTTTATAAATACAGCATTATTCAATTAACCAGGGCATTAATAAAGTGGAAATAAGAAGTGCTTTAGGATTTAGTGTTTTTTCTAAATGCTTTGCTTTTGTTTGTTTTCATAGACATTTCTGGCAACACTAAAATTGTCACACCTGCTGCAGTGCCCTCTTGTGGACTCTTGAGGGCACTAGGTCTTGTTTTGGTTGTTTTCATTTCCTGTATGCCTGCTCACATGATCATTCCTTGTTTCCAGCTGTTCCTTGTTGTCTAATTGGTTCTGTCTTTTATAAGCCCTGTCATGTTGTGTTTAGTTTGCCTTTGGATTTTGCTTTGCTCTGTCAATTCAATTCAATTCAATTCAATTCAATTCAATTCAATTCAATTCAATTCAATTCAATTCAATTCAATTCAATTCAATTCAGCTTTATTTGTAAAGCGCTTTTACAATGTAGATTGTGTCAAAGCAGCTTCACATAAATGGTCATAGTAACTGGAACAGTGTGGTTCAGGTTTTAGTGTTTAAGTTCAGTTCAGTTTAGCTCAGTTCAGTGTGATTTAATCATTACTGAGAGTTCAAACACTGAAGAGCAAATTCATCGATGCGTAGCTCTACCAATCCTGAACCATGCGAGGCAGTGGCGACAGCGGAGAGGGAAAAAAAACTTCACCTGAAGTCCTGTTTTGCTCTGTCCTGCTTTATTTTGTTCTCCAGTTCCTCATGTTAGGTTTGGTTTATTTGTTTACTTTTAGTATTGTCTCCATGTTTTTGGATCCCCGTTTAGATTTATTTGATTCACCTTAGTGCTTTTAGTTTTTGCACTTGCGTTTGTTTTGTCAGTTTTTGTACCTTGC